GCTATTATACATTTTACTGCAACACAGCAAAAGAATATTAGTGGCAGGCACAGGCTGCCATTCCTTCATAATATTATTCACAAATTCATACGTAGTCAGCAGGACACTTTTTACTAAGCAGTTTTGGGGCAAAAAGGGCAGCCATGCAATATAGCATCTCTCTTTGATTACTGCCCTATTATCTTAATTAGTAGTTTAATGTGGTTTGAAGGAAGGAGTACTAAGATCTGATTTAACTGGATATTTATATATTATGATAAATAACCAATCTTGGAATAACTTGGTTTGTCTTAGCCACTATTTTTTGGTTGTACTTCTCATCTACCAGTATCAACCTCAAAAAAATAATAATAATAAAGAAATCAGATTATAATCAGCACCTTAAAATAACAATCTTTTCCTTTTTTTAAAAAAATGGTTGCCTTCAAAATAAAGAGAAATTTCCAGGAAGGTTTAGATTTAACAATATACAAAGAATATCAAAGGATTCTTTCCAGGATTTAAGCTTCAAGTAAAAGAAGGTTAAAAACTAATATTCTTCCTGTTGTTAGGAAACGATCTGAAGAGGAGTATTTTATATTTATTTCTAAAGTACTTAGAAAGACAAAACAAGATGATGGATAGATCAGGGCAGGCCAGAGTCAGAATAGAGCATGTTCAGATTCTACTTTATCTTGTGCAAATGAAAAATGATTTCCAAATTACTTCTCTCTGTCCCAGAAGTCAGATCATGGTTGTATCAGATACTTGCCTAAAGATGCAGGAAAAGCAATCCGAGAAGATGCAGACAAAACTGGGTCTACCTATTCCTTTCCTCTACTGGAAGCTTTTGTGAGATGCTGGTATCTTTTAGAGTCTATTCATCAGAATATGGTATAACAGGTAGTCCTCGATTTACAACAGTTCGTTTAATGGTATTCAAAGTTACAACAGAAAATAAGAAAAAATATTTATGACCTGCACTCACACTTATGATTGTTGCACCACCTTCATAGTCATCTGATTACACTTTGGGTACTTGGAAGCTAGCTCATGTTTATGACTGGCTGCAGTGTTGCAGTGATTTGTAACCTATTTTGCCCAATTCTGGCAGCAAACAACCATTGGGGAAGGTGGATTTGCTTAACCATCACATGATTCACTTAATGACCGTGGTGATTCACTTAACAACTGCCGTAAGAACTGTCATAAAATTGACATGACTACAATGACTTATTAAAGAAACTCTGGTTCTGGAGGAAGAAGGCGGAGTCTCCTCACTGACGGACCGTAGACCGGGACTCTCTGCAGCTATGGTCTATGCTCTTTCGTTGGAGAGCCCTGATCATTATGATTAGGGGCTGAAGCTGCCTTGGAGGGGCAGCAAAGTAAGGGGAAGCCACAAGCCAGATTGAGGGGAGCCACATCTCCCCCCCCCCAGGCTTGGTCTTTTTCCCCCCGAAGATGACTGCAGCGGTGGTTTAAAATGGCCACCCCGAAGAGGAGGATTCAGCTGGATTAAGATTTGTGCAGGAGAGAAGAAAGAGGTGAATAACATCTGAACCAGGACAACTGGGCAATATGACTAAACAAAAGTACCCCAGGATTAAGGTAACATGGAATTTTTAAGAAAAGAAAAGTGAGTGGTGAAATTACAAAGGGACAGGGGAAAAAAAAGAAAATATTTTTGACAGCTAAGCGGGGCTTCGAACTGGGAAAGGAAGAAGCTGGAACTAAAGATTTAACTAAATTGGACTAAAATATTTTGGCAATAAACAGGCATAAAATAAAGCTGGACTTAAGATTGTCAAAAAATAATAATAAAGTTTACAAATTGGAGACTGGACTGTGCTGGAATATTGAGGTTCAAAAAACTCTAAATAAAAAAATAGGAGAAAAAGGTGAAGACTTTGTATAAGGGAGAGTGCCACCTTTTGACAAAAACTTGAGCTCAAACAAAAGGGAAAGCATCCTGTTTCTGAATGAACTTGTGTGGATATAACAGTAAAGAAATATTGAAACAAAGAATCTTAGAAAGTGAAAGCAGAACCAGAATAAAGCAAAAAACAAGGAAAGACTGACTGTGGGATTGATTGATGTTTTTGGTATAGACCCTGGGCTGGAATAACTGAGAACTTTAGAAAATTGAAAGAAGAAAGAAGGAAAGTAAAAGTGGTTTGTTTGTTTTTTGTGGACTTTAATGATCATAAAATATAAGAGTATGTAATGATGATATCTCTTCAGGAATTAAAAATGGAACTTAAAAATATGATAGAATTACTACAGGAAAGAGGCTTTGCTCTGTGTTAGAAAAAATGGAAATGGCGATTGAAGAACAAGAAAGAGCTTCAGAGGAGGAGGAGTCGATTCAAGGAGAAGACATTTTAAATAGACAATTAACACAAAGAACACTACAAAGAAGTGGGGAAAGAAGGAAGGTTTAAAAGTTGAGATTTAAGAAGGCAATCAAAAGGGGGAAATACCTGTGAAGTCGGGAAAGGCAGAAAGACCCAGCAGAAAAGGGGAAAGGAAGATATTAAGAAAGAGAGTGATATAAACTGGAATGAGAAAAGATATGGGGAAAAGAGGGGGAGGAGAACCAGTAAGAAACAGGTGCATGAAATAAAGAAGTACGGAAATAGTAAAATGTTGAAAAGAAATTGTTTTTTCAGAGATAATGGTTGATGAATTAAAGAGGATTCTGCAGGGTGACAAGGGGTAATAAGAATATTTCTGCAATTAAAAATATTTAGAAAATAGGGTAATATAGATACTGATAACCCGTATTAAAAATCAAGGTGGGGAAATATGCTGTGGAATCCAAATGAAAAGATGTAATGATTATTATTGTAACTTCTTAAAAATAATGGTTTATTGGGAATCAAGATGAGGGAGTAAAGGTATATTCTAATCATTGAGGTGTCACACTCAAAACAGTAAAAGTGGGGAAACCTATACTTGTTTTTTTTTTTAGTGTTAAAATTTGTATTAATCTAGAATTTATAAAAAGAATGTGTAGTGGAAAGGGAATATGACAGACAAAAGAACCAACTAAATTAATACGTTAATATAGACTATTAAAAGCAAGGAGAGACATTGGTAACTTTTTATTATTATCATTATTATCATTATTATCATTAGGCAAACACATATTGTTTATCTTTATTTTTAAAATAAATATTAAAGGATTATATTTGAAATAATTGAAATGAAACAAAAAGATGTTTCGATTGAGATTAATGAAAGAGGCTAGAATTAATGTGTTTGTTTCTCTCCTTACTGAAAATTTGGAAGGGAAAAGGTAATTATAGAATTAAGTATGCATATATGATGTATAATTGCTGTCATATTTGTATGTAAAGGTGATGGCCCGGAAATATGTTGTCCACTAAAAAGAGATTTTTGTTTTTAATGTGAAAAACTGAATAAAATTTGTTTTTAAAAAAAGAAAAAAACTCTGGTTCTAATTGTGGTCGTAAAATCGAGGATAGTCATGGCAGATATAATCTAATATTAACAGTAACAATAATAAAAAAGTATTATTTGTGCTGAAAGTCTCTTTTAAATTATTATAACAAACCAGGGTGGGATTTAGAATGGAGTCCATTCCACCCAGAAGATACTTCAATGGCAATAATTATTCATGACATAATTTTTGTTCAGTGGATGCATGGAAATAACTGCTGTTCTTGTTTAAAATATGGGAGTGACCACAGAATAGAATGGAACAGAACGGAACGGAACGGAATGGAATAGAATAGCTTTATGGCCAAGTGTGATTGGACACACAAGGAACTTGTCTTGGTGTGAATACTCTCAGTATACATAAAAGAAAAGATACATTCATCAGGAGTTGAGAATCATAAGGTATGACACTTAATGATAGTCATAGTGTACAATAAGCAATGTATAATATTTCGAATGAAGGAGAAATATAAGCTATCTGAACAGAGATATGTTTGCTGTCTTCTGTAGCAAAGTTCTGAGTTTCAAAGGCTGCTCCCATTTCAGTTTGTTTTCTTTTCCACGTTCCTTAATGGAACACAAGGCTCTGCATAAACAAGACTGTATACACAATAAGCTGAATGGCTACCCAGTCAACTGACTCATTCTAAACTGAAACATCTTTCCCTGTGGAGGCAACTTTGCTCCTTATAACCTCCCAAGATACTTTCTATTTGTTTTCCTGTTCCTTCACTTTGTTTTTCTCCTTTTCATTCCCTTTTTTTAACACGCTACCCTTGGGAAAGAGACAACCGTAGTTGCCATACTAAGCCAACCTTGACACTTCTGCCAGGTTATGGTTTGTGATTACAGCTGCCTTCACAACTGATAAGGTACTTGAACATGGTGATTTTGTGCCCTTCTTTTGTGACAGAAAAGTGGACTTGAAGGTACTTTCGGACTTGCAAGATTGATGGCAGCCTCAGAGGCCCTCTCTATCTTGCTCTAGCTTTAAGGTTACATTAACAGAAACTTGCAAGTCTGAAAGCACATTTCTCCTCCCTCGCAGTTACAGTCCAAAAACTAGGGAGGGTCCCCTCTGAGGTATTTGCCATATTCACATTCCCTAATCTGGATCTCTTCCTCACATCTCCCATATCATTTCCCGCACATCATTACACATAGACATTCAACTACTCCCCCATTCCCCGCTGCCAGGTCCGCACAGACCTTAGGCCTGCTTCCTCCGACTCCCTTGAGTCCTCCCAGGGCTTGATCCTCCCTTCCACCACCCATCCAGCATTTATCCTTTGAAGACCTCCAGAGCTCCAAACCTTACACTGGGGAAAGACAGCAAAAGCCATTCAGTCCCTCAATATGCCTCACTAAAGTCTTTCTGAAAAGACTTTGAAGTTTTTCTATGTGTAAAATTCAGTGTGAATAGAAATAAAGATCTTTTTAAAAAAAATGGCTTTAATTCCACAGAATTAAAACAAAATGGCTCAAGAAGTAGGAGATGATAGAATCTGAATTTTTATGCCTATGTTGGTTTCATGGTTTTAGCAGTAAGGACAAACCTGTTCTGATATTCTTGCAATACTTGATAGATGCTAATCAGAAAGGTTTGATTTTTAAAGCCTCCAAAAACACAGTCCTTGTAGATTCGGAATTCAGCAGCAGTAACAGCCTCTCCTTCTGGAATCTGAGACAAATTAAATTTGAACTCCTTGTGATGATGTTGATAAGGCACGAATTCCTTGTCATATTCAACTGTATAAAAAACAAGAAGATGACAATTATAATTTAAGCATAAATTCTATGATTTCCCTCCCAGTCTAATTTTCAGAAATAATTTGTTTGTTTTTAATGACAAATTTGCCTCAGAAAAAGCTAAAATAAGGCAGTTGAGAAATTAGGAAAATATACTATAAAAAGAAGTAATCAGAATTGGGCAATTTCATATTAACAAAAATGGAAACAATGTTTGTTCTATTTGATTTTCGGCTTTTCTCCAAAGAATCTGCATGTGTGTGTATATATATATATACACACATGCAGATTCTTTGG